ACCGGGTAATATCGTTGATCCAGACGCCGTCCAATTCGCAAGTCGCAAAGTAGCCGCCGTCAGCGGTGATGCTCGACGAGCTTTGGACATCTGCCGTCGAGCCGTTGAAATCGCCGAGCAAGCAGCCGACGAGGCTGCTGCCGCAGATGAGGCCAAAGACGAGACAGAATCATTACCTCCCACGCCCAGCAAAACTCCTGCCCGACGCAACAAGGCTATCACAGCCAAAGCAGCCGGAGAATCGGCCGTCGCTAAACCTCCTACGAAAGGCCAACCGGGCCGCGTCACTATCGCCACTATTAAGCAAGCCATTCACGAAGCTACATCAACTCCCCTCCAACAATCCTTGCGCTGCCTCCCACTATCGGGAAAGCTCTTCCTCGCCGCCCTACTAGCCCGCGTCCATCGGACAGGCGTTTCAGAATCTACATTCGGCGACGTCCTCGACGAAGCCCGCCGCATCGCCGATGCAGCCGTGGCCGTTGCTGGAGCCGCTGGCGCCGGCGTCAAAGATTTCCTGCTAGGTGGAGGCCCCAGTGCTCGCGTGCGCAGTCTGGGTCATGCGGCCATGTTGCTCATGAACTCGGGTGTTCTGGCGCTGGAGCAAGGCTCTGGTTCTAAAAGCGTGCTCGGCGGTACTACGATCCCCACTCGTGGCGACCGCAGTAGCAAAGTTCGGCTTAGGGTTGCGGCGGAAGATGTCAGGTCCGCTTTCAGGGAGGATGCTGAGGCTAAGGGCTTTGGTTTGGGTATTGAGCAGTAATGGTGAGGGTTTATTTGGTGTTTTAATACGAGACGCATTAGATGGAGTTAGTGTAATATCGCACAATAGTTTGCATATGATACCCTTTCAGTCCAGCTGTGTTTTGCGCTTTACATATATCGTAGTGGCTACTTGTACGTTTTGTCCATCTGGTCGATTGCCAAGGGTATCATTTGGCTCAATTGGGGTTTGTATCATACAGAACGTCAAGACTCTTGTTTCGGAGACATGGAACGAACCTTTCCAAGGAAACATTTCCTGATACATGTTTGAATATTTTAAAATCAAGGGCCTTCCACAGACCGCGCTTAACTCCACATAGTGCCACAAAGAACTTGATGGCAAGAAAGAAAATGAATACAGGGTATTGAGAAATTGGAATAGAGGGTACGAATGCCAGTAATGCTGGTCATCCCTCTAGAACCGCTGTCTACCGAGAGTCGGGGCCCAAGTCAGAGGGTGAGTCTCGGGGGTAGCCTCTTCATCCTGCTTCCAGATCTTGATGGTCTTATCGGCTTCACCTGTGATAAGACGCAAACCAGTGCGATCAAAGGTAGAAGCCATGATACCGGCTTCGGCTTCAAGAGAACCGGGCTGTGCGGTAGTCTCCATAGATTGGAAGCGGTGACCAGTCTTCCAATCCCAGAAGGACATGGAACCGTTGTCACCGCCGGAGAAGAGAACGTTCTCGTCGTTGACGGCGAGAGAGTTGATGACAGAGTTCTGACCGTCGAAGTTTTGCATGAAATCACCCTTGGGGCACATCCACTGCTTGATACTGCCGGTACTGGCACTGGCAAATGTAAACTCGGTGGGATGGATGGCGATGTTGCGAACACCCTTCTTGTGGTGTGTCAGAACGCCCATGCTTTTTCCAGCGGCCAAATCCCACAATCGGACTGTGGAGTCCAGCGAACCGGAGATAATCTGAGGGTCGGCGTCTTGGCACTTGATGTCGGCGACAGTGCCCTTGTGTCCACCGAGAACGTGTACGTTGCTTCGCGTCCGCATATCCCAGACTCGGCACACGCCGTCACGACCACCGGTGACTAACAGATCGAGACGAGGGTGAAGAGCGAGAGTGTACACACCGCTGAGATGGCCGTGGTAGTGTCGAATAACCTTGTTGGTCTCCAAATCCCAACACTTGACCATCTTATCCTCACCGCACGAGAAAAGGTACGGATGCCGGGGTGACACTGCTAAGCCACGGACGGTGGAGATATGACCGGTGAGAGTGAGCCGCAATGCGCCTGTCGCCAGATTCCAAATCTTGATTGTCCGATCTCCTGCTCCACTAGCAAACCACTGGTTGTTGGGTTCCACTGCCAACGCCCGCACCCATCCCAGGTGTCCTGAAATAACGCGCATAAGCTTCCAAGGCGCGTGCCACTCGGGCCGCTGTTGCTTGGTGGCTGACGGTCTCTGGATCAAACTCGTAGGCTGTTCCCCAGCAGGAGCTGCTCCCGCCCCAGCTCCGGTGCCCGATGGCCGCCTCACAAGTGACATGGATGCGCCACTACCGTCTGCGGGTGTCTGCGCCTGGATCTTCGGCCGTTTTGTCCGGCCGGCTGAAGCCTTCGCCTGTTTCTCTGCGAGAGCTCGTGGTAGCTCGGTGATATCTTCGTACTCTGCCTTCCGTCGGTAGGAAACGCCGATTGAGCCATCTGTAAGAGTTGAAGGTGTGACCATCAGATAATCGGTACCGAAGAGTTCGGCGGTCCGCTTTGCGGACATGCGCACGGCCTCATCGACAGGTTGGGGTGTGTATTCCATTATGTATGCGCAAGGAAGTGGTGTGGGGAGGGTGAGATGAGTTGGTGTGCTTTGAAGGACAGGAGCTCCAAATAATCACGATCCGATGGTGCGCGCGATGAAAAAAGCCTGCGGCAGGTTCGTGAGTGCAATCGAGTCCGGAGGTTCAATCTAGGCGCCAATTTTGGAAGGGCTATTAGCTGAAGACCGATGCTGCGTCCCTAGCAGCTGCAAGACAAGATATGGTTGAAGATGGTACACCGGATGTCCATGAATCTTTGGATCGAAGTTGCAGCGGGTGTTCGTGCCTGAGGCGCCATAATTGACCAACATTATACCCGGCCCAAAAAGGGCGGTGAGGTTGAAGGGCGGTGGGCGGTGCGTGGTAGTATACCTCTAACTATTCCGGTGATCAGTTAGCTACATATGTACATTGTAGGCTTTTTATCAGAAAATCTTTGGATTCCTATGTATCTTTCTTCCTTTATCAGCTGACCTATTTTGAGATCTACGATGTACCCGTGGACATACTCCTCATTGATAGGAGTATACATACGGAGTAGTGTAAGAGGTATTATTTCTAAGACATAAGCTGCCTAAAAGAGAACCTCCACTTCGTGTAAATAGGTGGGAACGGCAGATCCCATTCTATTCAAATGATAATTCTCATAATATTTGAATGATATCCGTGCCCAACTTCACTATACCATATGTACCTTTTATATGCGGATCCAATACAAAAGGTACAAAGGCAAGGACTTGCTAAATTCCATAGCTCACGTGGAATCACAAAATATGAGAATAATTGCAGATTTCCGGTGTATTCTATGTACCGTGTCTCTCAATTTCCATCCGACATAAATTTATTGAGCTCAATTGTAGCAGTCCTCGCTGGGAGCAGGTGGCCCGGGGCTCAATATTGCTGACTCAGCTGCTCTGGCTTATCGCAGCTCTTATCGCAATATCACTCTTCATCCTCCAAAGTCGTCATGGATTCCGATCAGAAGTTCGCCCTACACGAGGCTGCCCGGGAAGGAAGAAGTGAGCTTGACCATTCTTTGTATAGTACTATACACTAATACATCTCCTTAGATCAGGTTGTTGAGTCGTTGCTCAATGTGAGTTGTGCTCCACCTGGGGCCGAGGCTGCCCCGCAAGATTAAGCTGGCACTGGTACTGGTCTCAAGAACAAGGCTAATTATTGAAACAGGTTAACCCAAAATCTGCATTCGTGAAAGATGATGATGAGCGTCTTCCTATTCACTGGGCTGTGGCCTACAACCGATTCCCAGTCGTGGAATTGCTAGTCGCTATGAAGGATTTCGACCCAGATGTAGAAGTGAGTATCCTTGTCATATTTCGAAGAGAATTCTCCTCGTTTTTTTTTTCAATATTGGCTGGCAATTATCATATAACTCTGCTAACACATCATAGGATGGATCCGGTTGGACGCCTCTTATGATTGCAGCTAGCCTAAAAGATGCCGCAGGCGATGCAACGATCGACCTATTACTGCGAAAAGGAGCCGACGTTTCTATCAAAAGCAACACCGGACAGGTCAGCTTTCCGAGACTTTGAATTGGCTATTGGGGTACATGGACTTACTATCTAGTAGAATGCGCTGCACTTCGCAAGTTCCAAGGCCAATCTCTCCACCGTCCGCACCTTGCTTGCCAATAAATGTAGCGCCAGAGTCAAAGATAAACGTGGCCAGCTGCCTCTTCACAGAGCAGCCGCAGTGGGATCTGTGCCTATCTTGAAGGCCCTCTTGGAAGAGGGTAAGAGTCCTGTCAACGCAACGGACGGGGATGGATTCACAGCGCTTCACCACGCTATCTCCGAGGGACATGGACCTGCCGCGATCTTATTGTTGAAATCTGGAGCAGAAGCGGAAAAGAGAGACAGTGACGGTAGACTGGCGATTGAGCTAGTCCCAGACGACAAGGTAAGCCCCTCACCTGAATTAAGGATCCATTTAGATCAGAATGGCTGATTCCTCGTGTTTATCCAGGTCAAGCAATACATCTTACAGACAGCAGAGAGAGAAGGAATTGAACTCCCTTGATTATTTTAGTATCTAGAGGAGATTATCAAACTTCAGGTTAATCGTCGGAATACTGTATATGCCTCGGTACTTCAACTTCCCCGCATTTCAAATATCCAAAATTGTATGATCTTGACTTATTCCTTGTAGTAGATCAATCCTTACACGAGTAAATCTTCCAAATATGCCAGGTAATTTTAACATTCCTGTCAAAATGATCAGCGTGGACAGTAGCCGCCCGGCTTACAGATCCTGCATGCTATGTGACATGAGCTGCATAAAGAACGATGTGCAAGGATTAAGGATAATGGGCCTCGGTCACCCAGGTGACTGACAAATCTGTACTTACTTAAGAAGTTTGCGGGGAAGCTTTGGGTTATATTCCGGCCTGTCACCCATAATTTGTCAACCCTCGAATAGTGCATAGTCAACCTCAGAATGTCGACAACAAGTAACACACGTCTCCCTGTGGGAAACAAAGACTTTACCAATGCTACTGTTGTCATTATTGGCGCTGGCATATCAGGTATGTTGAGTCCTCCAAGGCAAATAAATCCAACTAACCCTTCCTCAAGGAATGTGCATGGCGATTGATTTGATCAAACGGAATAAAACTCACAATTTCGTTATCCTCGAGAGAAGTAGCAGCGTAGGTGGAACTTGGAATGACAACAAGTATCCCGGCTGCTGTTGTGATGGTAAGAAATATTCTACATACCCAGTGACAGCAGCTGATGAAGTCTAGTCTGGAGCTCGCTCTATAGCTATTCCTTTGAACAGAATCCCAATTGGTCGAGAGAATATCCTGGACAAGAAGAAATACATGTTAGTAATATGTGTGGCCCTCGGCATGTCTTGCGATATACGAGCCATTGCTGATTATTATGCATCGACTAGGCATATCTCGTTGGCGTTGCAGAGAAATATGGACTCTACAAGCACATTCGATTCAACTCCACGGTGGCGGAGGCCCGATGGAATGACGTCGAGTCTAAGTGGAAGACAAGCGTCGTGGTATCAGGGCAGAAAGACAGCGAGTTCGCAAACTCCTACGTTTTGAATTCCGATTTTCTTGTCTCTGCTGTCGGGCAACTCAATCTACCCCGAACACCCGAAATCCCAGGTATAGAGGATTTTCAAGGGAAGATGATGCACTCTGCTCGATGGGATTGGAGTTACGATATGACAGGAAAGCGAATCGCAATCATTGGCAACGGTGCGTATTTTGGGGGAAATAAAGAAAAGTCGGCCTATGGGATACAATTCTAACTCATTCTATAGGAGCAACCGCCGCTCAGATTGCCCCTGAAGTTGCTCGAGTTGCTTCTCACCTTACTATCTACCAGCGGACTCCAAACTGGATCACTCCTCGCCTAGATCAACCAGTATCTGCCCTTCAAAGGGCCCTATTCAAATGGGTTCCACCGCTTCACTGGCGCAAGCGTGCGCTTCAAATGGAATTCCGTGAAGCCTTTTATGCAGCTGTTGCAGATAAAGATTCGGCGCTTTCCCATTTCATTCGGACCTCATGTACCGATGCGATGAGATCCCAACTGCCTGATCGGCCAGAGCTATGGGATACACTGACACCCACTTATGCGCCGGGATGCAAGAGAATCATCATTACAGATGATTACTACCCCACTCTTGCCCGTGAAAACGTCCAGTTGGAGACACGCGGCATCACAGGTATCACGGAATCTGGTATCGAAGTCGACGAAGAAGATGAACAAGAATACGACCTTATCGTTCTTGCTACTGGCTTTAGAACTGTGGAGTTTATGCATCCCATCCGAATTTACGGCTCAAATGGTCGGTCCTTGGAGGATATCTGGAAAAATGGAGCAATGGCGTTTAACGGTGTTACCGTTGAGGACTTGCCCAACTTTGGCATGTTCTATGGTCCCAACACCAATCTCGGTGAGATATACCCCGTCTCTAAAGAACATCATGGTTTCAATCATTCTAACTCATCAAAAGGACACAACTCCATCATCCTTATGATCGAAGCACAGTCGCGATATCTGAACACCCTAGTTGGGGAAGTGATGCGAGCCCGGCAACAAGGAAAGACGCTGGCTCTTAAGCCAGAACTGGGTGCGTTGAAAAGCTACAACGATAGGATCCAGGAAATTCTACGGAATACGAGCTTCGCGGACCCAAATTGCAACAGTTGGTATAAGAGAGATGACGGGGTTATCACGAATAATTGGTGTGGAACTGTGGTTGACTATCAACGTGAACTCTCAAATGTGCAGTGGCAGGACTATATTGCCGAGGGAACTGGTAAAGACCGTGTCGTAAGCAAAGCTGCTACAAAAGTGAATCATGCTCGGGAGGAGATATTGTTAAGTAATTTCTCTTTGCTTGCTGGGGCTATCAGTGTGTTGTCGGTGACGGGTTATTTTGTAGCTCAGTCGAGGCGGCTTAAGGCACGCTGAGACGACTTTGAGATGTTGTCAACAAACACATCATCGCCAGTTATATTGTTTCTTTACTAATGTAGTGGTACGGTGTGCGGTTCCCCAAGCCTCAGACCGGGTGATGGCTCTATAGGGACAGTTTGTTACTTTGCTTTAGACATATAGCTCAAACCTACGCGCCTTCGACCGTAAAGGTATTCGGTGTCTACGGAGATGACTAGTACAATGAAAGAGAATGTTGTTAAACAACCCCCCCCCCCCCCCCCCCCATGTATTCCGTGGGACCTGTCAAATGGTTACGAACCCACAAGGCTCAGCCAACGACCTTTTCAAAGAACATCCACAAGAACTCCTGATTTGATGTGGGCGCGGACCTACACATGGACCTCAACAACTTGATAATATTGATATCCACGTTATGTGTAAGTAAGGCACGACCCTCTGCGCGATCTCAGGTGGGCTACGGCGAGATGGGGGTCGAGGGCTGAGAAGAAGAGAAGAGAAGAAGAAGGATGGGGGGGGGGGGGTTTTTATATCCTCAACCGTACCTTCCTAATGTGAGCTGCCTTGCACCTTCCCTTGTCGCATGTCACCTACCCAGCCAGCTCATATAGAGATATCTAGAAGGTCATGTACACTTCAAGTGAAGGGCAATGTTGACGGCACCAATCCATACACAGAGAACTCGGTTGTTCTTAGGCCTCATCTCCCCTCGGCCCCCGGCCCTCGATTTTATTTCACCTTTAAGCACCCTCGATTGCCCGTGTCAACTCTTATTCAATTGAATGTCATACCGTTTATTCACAAAGGACCTACACAACATCAGATACGCGCTTCCGTCACCATGTGATCGCACTGGTCAGTTTATTGGGCACAGGGTTCTCCTTCGCCTCCAAGTTCAATCCAATTACCCGACTTACCAAGGGTGAAACCATCTATGCCGGTGCCGTTTGCACCATCGAGTGGAATGTGTCAACCCACGGCCACTCGGGCCCGATCAATATTGAACTGAAAGGCATCGAAAGCCCCCATATCACAGGATATGTGGCAACGATCAGCAGTGAGTACAATATAACACTCACTCACTTCATCTAGCGTTGTGGCTACGACTAAACGAATATCTTCATAGCCGACACTAAGAGCAGCGACGGCAAATCCCAGTGGAATGCTAGCAGCACTCTTCCGAGCAGTGACGGTTACTACATTAGGATTAGCTCTGTCAACGATATTGCCATCTACAATTAATCACCGAACTTCAATATCAAGGTCTCAAATGAGTCAACAGACGCGACTAGCTCTTCCAAAGCGTCAACGGCAACGAATTCCGCCACTATTTCTCCTACGGCGTCTACTATCATTACTTCCACGGGCTCGACCGGTACATATGCTCAGAGCGCAGTTACAGCTACCTCGACATCAAGTGGAGCCAGTAGCGTGGTGACTCCTATTTTTGCTGCTTCATTTTTATTGGTCGATGTTGCAGCCGCTGGTATGTTGGCGTTTTAAGCCAGAAGTGAGGGTATCTGATCAAAGGAGTCGGGCGGAATGTAACAGGTTCTTCTATATTCTAGTACCCCTAGAAGATTGTTCTTAATTCTTTCCCTATATTACAATGGACGTACTTGATCACTTGCCTTGCGATCAGAAACCTTTGACATAGGTGCTTTGAATTACGTCTAGGCAACACCGTTGTCCTGAGAGATGTTTGACAAGGTCAACAAAGAAACTTTATAAAGCAAGAAACAGGTAAAATTTCCTCCGTCGGCTCGAATGAACCTAACAACAAAGTGTGGAAAGGGGGAAAGTGTATCCAGGATATCACCGTTTCTTGGTTGAATTTGCCAAGGAATGTAGGGCTGCATGTTTGAGGGCCCAGCCTTTCTTGATAATGTCATAGAAGAGACACTTCTGTTCTGTGCATATAAACAGATGATGCGCCCCTTGCAAGACTTGGATGAATCCCCGTTTGCCAGGACCAGTTAACGACGTCATATATCAAGATCTCAATGCTTCTCTGACAACCAACATTCCTTGTCGATCATCATTGTCATACTCTGACCTACCCTGGAGATTCTCTTATCCACCAAGTTAGACCTTTGTGTCAAGAATCAGCAACATGGCCTCTTCAACGCCATTAACGAAGCGATACCTCTCCGAGCAAGGGCCCCCGGAAGATGAGCCGTTAAGCTCGCCCGCCAAAAGGCGCCGGTTTTACTTCGCTGATAGAATTTCCATTGAGACAACTGTCGCACCCGAAGGCTCCAGAAATTCCACACCACGAACAATTACCAAACCAGAGACCTCGGTTGAACGCGCCTTCAGCTTAAGAAGGGCACACGGGCAAGATAAATTACCAATAAGATGCGACTGCCCACCACTGCGCGGCCGATCCGACTATCGCATCTGGCGTCGCGAAATGAAGCTTATTCTGAGCGAAAATCTGGTTTGGGATTTGGTTGAGGGCAAAATCGGTCAACTTCCTCGATCCCATTACCTGGGAAGCCAATTAGACAGTCTGAACGAGGCGGCGAGGGAAATCATTATTACAAACCTATCTCCTACTACCAGGCCGATGGTTCGCAACATTCGACATGCACAGAAGATGTGGGAGAAGCTGGAAAAACACTGCAAACCTTCTGATTGGAGCTTGGTGCGGTCTGGCTGGCTTGAGTTGCAGAATATCAAATACAGCCAATGTCGTGATATCTGGGATTATGTGTTCAAGGTGGATGATGCATGGAGATGCATCTGTCTTGATCAGGAGGACATTCTTGAAAAACATGAATTCGCTCGTTGTGCGAGTCTCGTGTGCTCTTTGGATACACCTAAGTGGGAAACTTGGAAGATGGGTTTTCTTGCTGGTCGCAATATCAATAAACCGAACTTTGCAAGTCTGGTGGAGAGCTTGACTTCAGCCGAGGACAAGGGTATCGTCTCTGATTTGATTGGAATTGCGATCTGACCCGAAGCTGTGCAAATCGTCGCCTAGTGGTACAAGATGTTGTGTCTTTCGTTTTGTTTTATAACGTTACCTGGGGTAGATATAGATCATCTAAAGCAAATCAATTATGCTTTTTTCGGTGCACTCACAAAACGTATTGTCAATGGATGTATGAGAAACAACCAAATCGTGTTGACACTGGCGAAAATGGAGGTAGGCCCGGATGGAATTGATCTTATCTGATCGATCAGCACTCCCCAAGGTTGGTGTGGATATTTGCAATGGGAAAAGGGACTGTCCAGGTGTGTCTAATCCAAAGCCCAATAAATAAATGAATATTGGAAGAGTCGCCTGGGTAATGTCATGCTAAATCCCATGTTACATGGTCTTCACCACCACTCCTGCCTTGTCTATACCTAGGTAATTCTTAGGTTTACGGCAGTTTCCTTGAGAGTTCCTAACTTTTCTTTTCCCTATGTCAGTCCCACCTCTGCCACTCTCCTTTCCAACCTTCTCTCGGACTATCTCTCAATTATATCTACAGTGAAAACTAGTGGGTTCAATGGCATACCCTCTATAGCATATCTAGGCAATCCGCTAATCATAGTGACTGAAACAATTCCTCTTCCTCGACGTGTCAAAATACCCTCCAGTATAGGCCACCCGACTGCCTCCAACACCCCATATGTCGATAAAGGGAAGCGTTCCGCGTGATCTCAACGTCGAGGATATTCAAACATGTTATGAGCAAGGTTGGCTCCATACAGAAGCATTTGACTCCTACACGGTAAACATTATTTGCGTACTACCCACAAAGATACATGCAAAGTCAGTCCCATCTCCTTTCATCTTTCTTCCGAGTTCCCTTTGACTAAAATATAAAACAGCTTTGTCGAACATGAACTCGCACCGCTTGTTCTGACATATCGAGAATCGAGTACACCTCATCACCCTATCATAGCGGCCTCTGCTATGTCTGCTCCAGCAGACAGATGTCACACCCGGAATCAAGAAGGCCACGGGACCTCAAGCTTGGATGATCCAGGACATGTCTCTTGGCTCTCGCCCCACGAAACTTCATACCTCGGTATCCTTCCAAAGGACCGTGATGGTCAGGAGGATCAATGGCGCATACCAACAAAGGAAAAGTCAAGGCACAAGTGGCGATAGCCCAAGCAAGAAGGCTGTGTCCTGTTGTTTTGTTGAATTGAACCACGCGGAAGGTATACAACTACACGTCGATCAAGAAAAGGTTGAACAAAGCTAGATTTCTTTTGGAAACATCAATGGCAGTCTATACCGGTGGAAGTTGATCTGAGGAGACAGGGACCTGGGCTTAACTACTCAAAGAGACTATATGGGCTCTGATAAACGACGGCTCTACAACTGTCCTGTACGCAGGTCGAGCAGAAAGCAAATTCGATTCGGTTTGGAAATTGCACGGAGGTATACCCCGAGACCCTGTTTGTATTTATTCCAAGACTAGCTTAATAATTGACTATTCTCCTGCCAATATCTCTCTAATTTTCGTATTTCACAAATCTAAAAAGGTATCGATCAGGTTGGAGGGCTGCTCAAAGAAATCAAACATCACGATCCCCACTCGCTTGCCTTTCTGTCTTTTCAAGAAGGCCACTATCTGCTGGTTAACCCCACCATCCGGTGTATAGCCAGTACCATTTCCCAGTGCCATGATCCGAGGCCAATCGGGAGGATCATTTGCTATGTTGTTACTAGACGCCCAGGTCCAGAAGAGACTGTCCGGGTGGCGGCTAGTAGCTTTGCGAATGTTTTTCACTGTAGCATTGTATTTCCACCTGATGTTCTCGGTCGCACTCGACCCTGTCGGTGTGAGTGGCTGGTAGTAGTCTTCTATGTAGGCGGTCAGGCTCTTGGCCTTGTTGTATACCAGGGTGATATCTGCGCCGTTATCGGTCCAGAGACTGGGCGAGAAGTGCAGGCCGGGAAGTGCAGCTGTGTAAGAATCCGGAAGTTGGTCTAGGTCAAAACGGCGCATGAGAGTTATTTTGCCACGCGAGTCACCCAGGGTGCCTAATTCGTTTTTTGTTTGCATGAAATAATGGCGCGCGGCGGGGGAGGTGAGAATATTGTAGAGCTGCAGCTGCACGGCCGCGCTGTTAGAGGCGTACCGGCCCGTCGAGCCTTGGTACTGGAATGAAAGAAAAATGGTCTCCGAGGGGTGATCATCCAGCCACTGATAAAATCCAAACAGTACATCATTGACTGTGGCTGTCTCTGAGAGCAGGGCCTGTGCATGGTAGAAGATGAGGGTAGAATTTGTCGGATCGAAAGCATATCGCAGATCAAATGCCCGGATTCCCATGTCAAGCATATCGATAAAAGATAACTCTTGACATCGCAATGCTTCTGGCACTGGAACATCGACCTGGTTGAGATCTGTGATGCCCCGCAGGGCATCTTGCGTCGCCTGGGTATAATTCCATGTGGCGCTGTCATGAGTGCCGGGGATATTCATATGAACGAGCAATGTTTCATCGGCATAGCTCTTCATCCATTGCGCTTTTCCCGTCGTGCTTTTTTTGTATGATCCAAATATTGGAGTGGCAGTGTCAAGTACTGTTTGAAGTGCGAAATCCGTCAGGGCGGCAGACGCCAGGGGAAGGGCCATGGCCATAACAACCGAAGCCTTCCACATCATTGTGGAAATATTGAGAGTGCAATCAAGTAATCAAATTCCCAAATTCAACTTGGGAACTATTGGAATATGTAGTATTATAGTACTTTCTGAAAGGAGTCAATATTCTGCAGGGGGTGTCGATGCTAACGATGCCAAGACCCACGCACCGGAAACTTCGGGGAATCATTGTCGATCTTTAGACCACATTCGTTGAGAACAGGAGAATAGTTGAAAACAGTTTAGCCCAAAAGTAGGGCTATAAAGCCATATGGCTGGTCAGGTTGGCTCGACACGTGCACCGATTGTTAGGTCGCGACTGGTGCGACTAAGGTGGAGCTTCATCTTGTTTCTCGTCTTGGGTATATTGGCAATTAGTTCGGAAATCTATATTTTCGAAAGTCTCCGACAAACCTGGTTTTTCTCACTCAAACCTATCGCCGTCATGCGCAGTCTCGTCTTACTTTCCGTGACAACCTCAGTGCTGGGTCAAATCCCGGGGAACTCCTTCTATCCCCCAGCACTGAATGATACATCATACATCAGTAACAGCTCAATTGGAACATATGGTGGTACCTATGAAGCCCCAATCAATGGACCGACCGGGGGAAGCCCCTATGGCACCTACGACTACTGTTCCATGCCGCATCCTCGTTCGGAAGAATACGAGCTGCCCGAAGCTCTGATCAACGGCTCAACTAAAGGAAAGCTTGTGTACCTGGAATATCTCCAGCGTCACCAGCGACGAACTCCTTACAACATTCTCCCAGGTGGGGAGGTAAGCAACTCTCAGATCAACTTCGACCCTCGGCCCATGTTGACCCCTTCCCCCAGAATCAAGCATATCACTGCGACAATGTGCGCCCGTATCTCTATGCAGGCCCCAACAGCGCGGACGATATCCAGCCCATGCCAATGTATGCACAGACATACCAAGACCCCACCAACCCCTTCACTCCCGGCGTGAACGGCACCTGTCAGTACCCCCAGATCACCATCGGAGGAGTCCAGGACGGGTATCAACACGGCAAGGACCTGTGGAGCGTCTACGGCAAAAAGCTTGGCTTGGTTCCCAAGAAGCCAAACAACCGTGTCTGGTTCCGCTCCAGCGAATCCGCTCTCACGCAGGCCTCGGCTGGTACGGTCCTGCGCGGCATGTGGCCTCACTACAAGGGAGCTCTACCCCTGCACCAGATGGTTTCGTCTGTTAATACTGTCAATGCGGGGTACTCTTGCCCTGCTGTCGGCTCTACTCTATCGAGTATGAAGTCTACCACGCAGTGGAAAGAGCATCTGGCTGTCACCGAGGAGTTGCGCTCGAAGCTTGGTGCTATGTTGGGCGCGACAGAGAGCTCGTGGCAGAGTACCTTTGACCACTTTGCGGACAATTTCCAGGGTCGTCTGTGTAACGGATATGATCTGCCCTGTAGTCTGTCAAATTCCTCGGCCTGTGTCACGATGCAGATGGCTGAGGAGGTCTTCCGTGCGGGTGATTGGGAGTGGAATTACTACTGGCGCTCGAACCCAGAGGTAGTCAAGTACATCCAGGTTGTCGAGGGCTTATTTATTGGCGAGATTATTTTGCGTCTGCAAGCTGTTCTAGACGGGAAGTCTTCCCTTGATTACAGTCACATCTTTATTCATGATGGCGATATTGGTCCTATTCTAGGTTCTTTGGGAATCGAGACACTTCGCTGGCCCGGCATGGCATCCAACATTGCTTTCGAAGTTTGGTAAGTCCCCCTATTTGTCTGGTATGCTGGGGTTCTCTAACTGTTTTTCAGGGAGACGAAAGATAAAAAGCATGGGAAGTCCTTCTACGCCCGGGTTTTGTATAGTGGCCATCCCATTCGAAGCATCCACGGTCTTCTTGACTGGGTCCCCCTCTCAAAGCTGATTGATATCATGAGCCCTTACGTCCCTGAGAATATCACTTCTCTCTGTGGTTAAACACAAGCTGGAGGTCTGAAATCTCAATTATCGTTTCAAAAGATCTTCCTAGAATAATCATTTCAAAGTTATCGGCACTCCCTCTTAATTCCAACCCACAGAAAAACAATCAAGACATAGTGCCGCTTATTCTTCGACGTAAATCAACCATATAATATGGGTAGAACTCCCACGTGCAAGCTAGGTAAGGTGCTAGTAGCACTAGCGTTTCGAGTGCCGTTTAGAAGGACTCTAGACTGTTACAGGCCAAGCACACACATAGGAATGACCCTTAATTGCTGAGCTTGAGAATCTTTTAATTCGAATCAAGTTTTGTGGTTTCCATAGAGCCCAGAAGCGAAACATGTGTCTATTTGTCCCCCCATCTCTTGAAGCAGTATATCGGAAGCCTACAATTATCAAAGGGACAAAGAGCTCTCAAAGTATTATATATTAATATCTTCGTTCATAATATGTACGCTGATCGCTAAATATAGCGCCAGTCTTTATCTAGTTGTCTTGCTCAACATATTCCCCATAACGCCATCAATCATAAATAGGCAACCAAAAGACGCACTCACCCCAACTCCTCCTAGGTAGCAAACTTGCTCAAAGCACGAAGTCTACTACCATAGAAGTAAAGCAACCAGATACCAATAATACCAATAACACTCAATCCACCAAGAAGACTGACACCACGAGCAACACCCAAGTTCCCAAATAACGGATGCGCAAACAGCACACTGCCACAAGCAAGTGCACTGCGGAAGAAGTCATTCGCAGCGAACAGACTAGCCGCGTACTTGGGGTATGTGAGGGGAATGTACATGAAGATGCACTGCATGACGATGAAAACCGTGACACCATAGATGGTGATGCCGATGGTAGGCGCAATCCAATGAATAGACGCACGAGCCGTCCAAGCAAAGACGAAAAGACCAATCATAGGACCAAAAGAGGCAGGTAGGGCGGGGATAAGAAGATCCTCATTTTGAGGGAAGCCGAAGCGGCGGATGCGAGGGTTCATCCAGAAGTAGATGTAGCTGGCGTAAATGGCGACTCCAAGAATGCATGCAACCAGCATACATAAAAAGACGAGACCGACCTGTCCGAGGTTCATGTTGTAATCGACTGGGTAGACCAAGGGGAAGACCTCAAAGAAGGAATAGTAGATGCCGTAGATTATGGCTGTATAGATCTGGACAAAGAGGACGGCTGGATCCTTGATGGTAATTTCCATGGGTTTGATTAGGGCGTCGATGGCAACGTCTGAGATTCGCATGTTGCGCTGGTCGATCTCGGATTGAGACTGGAAGCGAGTGGTATTGTGGATTTTGCGGAGACGGTCAGCGCGTCGGAGTAGGATTGTTGCGCTGCTGGTTTCCGGCAGGAACATGAACATCAGGATGAAAACCGGGGCGGAGGCCCAGATTGATTCGAAGAGGGACCAGCGCCAGCCTTTGATGGGGACGGCGAAGCCGCTGAGGAGAGGGCCGAGGGCGGCTGTATAGTCTTGTTAGTATATGGACAGATATTGGGTATAGATGAAGGGAGAGGGAAACTTACGTCCACAGTAGGCGGCAGAAACCCAAGCCATCATTGCATATGGCAGGGACATTAGGCTGTACAGGTCTCCGATGGAAGCACCTCCAGATGCAAGACAGGGCGAGCCAAAGAAGCCTTGCAGAAAGCGCAGCACCAGTAAGCCGGCGAAGTTGTTTACAACGGCTGTTGGGATGGAGATGATCACGAAGAGGAACATGGTGACGATGTAGACTGGATTGCGTCCAATCACGGGGATTTCACTCAGTGGAGAGAAGACCAATGGCCCGATTCCATATCCCAGAACATAAAGTGACAAACCCAAAGTAGCGACCAAGGTGCTCACACCGAACTCCTTCATGATACCCTCTGTTGAGGAGGTGTAGATTGCAGAAGTGGTATATACCACGAAGGTATATAAACAAATCAAAACAGTGATAAGAACGCGCTTGCGATTAGACCAGTTGTGTGGGTTCTCTGGGTCATCGGTATAGTACCAATCAACGAGGATGGAACCGTCTTTTGTTTTCTTGGGGGCAATGGCGATGGATTTGACTTTCTCAATTTCATGTTGTTCATCGGCCTCGAGACGAGCTTCGGTGAATTGCATGGATGCTTCAGTAGAGGCCCGGCTTAGTGGTTCACTGTATTCATCGCTTCGGATGGAGTCTTGTCGGGTGATGTTCTTTTCGTCGCTTCCATCTCCGCTCGAGTTCAACAATTGAAGCCATGTATCGGGAAGCTTGAAATTGGGCTTTTCTTCGGGATATTGGAAGTATTTATTGTTTGTCAGAAGACGAACAAGCTGCCCGAATGGGGCATCTCGAATGACAGATTCCATCTTGATAGGGTAGGAAGGATAAAAGCAAGAAAGACACCCTTAGGGTTGGGATAGCTGAATCGGATGGCTGAATTGGATGAGATACCATTAAATGAGAGGTAGAATAGACACACTATATACTTCCAAAGCTATACTACGTTTCTAATCCTTTCAATTCTGAAGTCCGTTAGGAATCAAAATCCCGAGCCTTAGGAATCAAAATGCATTCCAAAGGATTCGAGGGCATCTATGATCGATAATCAGATATTATAAATGGGAGGTTAGAGTCTGCACCAATCAGAAAGGTCAATAGGCGCCTCGCAGGATGGCGTATACGAGATCAATTCGAATATTCACCCGACCTCCGACCCTTAAATCCGTGCCAAGCTTATTAATCACCGGACCCACTATATAAAAAAATTGAATGTGACTTTCAAAGAGACAAAAAAGATCTGGACTTGCAGGGAATCGAACCCTGGACCACTCCCATGCTAAGGGAGTATTATACCACTAAACCACAAGCCCAGTTGATTGATAGTTCGAGGCCAAATAACATCTATAAACCAAAGACCTCTTATACTTCGCCACACGAAGGATATTTAGGCATACGGATTTTCTCAATATACATATAGCTAAAGAGAAACATACTAAAATATGATATAATACAGGTTTCAATCAATTGATCTAATACTAGTATTATTGTAGATCCCTAATGTGGAGGGATAATGATATTTCAAAAAGACCTACAGCTGATACAATGTAGAAATATATATACATTCTCTCTTTTAGTGTGCTTAATACTACTTACAAAATTTTATTTAAAATGGAATTTTGTATTATATACACATTCTCTACATAGGTATGCCCCCAGGCAAAAGAATACGCTAGTATGATAGGGATCACTACCCTAAATATCAGCATTGCCAGCCGAGTAGAGACACGAGTGCCACCTGACAGTATTTATACACAACACAACACGCCTATTATTTCCCTATGAAAGTTCCTTGAGCTAGTCTATGCCGTGGTGGTGGTGGTGGTAGTCACAGTGACCGTCACCGTGGGGGCACACCTGGTCATAGTGGGTGTGGGCACGTAGACGGCTTCGGTCTCGGTTACCATAAAGATGACATTGGCTTGTTGACTACGAAAGTCATTTGCGCCTGACGCTGTCACAGCAAAAGCGGTCTGACTGGGCAAGGTAGTCTCAATAGTCTCATCAACACCTACAGAGCTGCTGCTTTGAACAGGGATGCTGGTTTCTAAGGGCAGATCTGAGAGGGAAACATGATTGCCGTGACCATGATTGTGTCTGTGGATAGATCCTGTAAAAGAAGCGAGAGCAGTTGAGGACGGTGACATGGATGCGGGAGCCCTGGATAATGCAGAGCTGTAGACGACGGACGAGGAAGGATAGTCTGTCACGGCCAATGCAGACCAAGTTGTGGTGGGTGCAACCTTCACACCCTGAGCGGTGACATCCGCATTGCCGCCATGGGACCACACGCGGGGTCCTGGGATAGTGTAGTTTGTGATATAGTCGCGGTACATGTAAAAGAGAATTCCCTTCTCATAACCATCATATACGCCAGGAATCTTGACAGTGGGCCCAGGAATAGCCGTACTGTCACTCTCAACCTCAATCTGGGCACAGTTCAAGTAGAACTCAGCACCGCCAAATTCGCCAGCTCCGTGCAGCGCAATATGCTCGATGCGCACAAGGTACTGACCAGCGGGAGTTTCCTTGGGAAGGGTGAAGTCGAATTGGCTCTTGCCTGTCACGCCCCATTGAATCCCATCACTGCCAAAGGATGTGGGACCAAGCTCATAGATCTTGAACCAGTCGCCCGAGCCATCGTAGTTCTTTACGCTGCCAGGTGCCTTGGACAGGTAAACCTGTAAGGGACCAGGGTGCTCAATCTGAGTGCCAAAGTCGGTAGCGAATCCAATCGTATCACCAGCTTTGACCTTATAGACATCTGTTTTCTGGGCATAGGCATCCGAGCCCGTGTTGCAGCGGAAGTCATCACTGCCGTAGTTCCCCTTGAAAGGCATATAGTTCTGAGTATCCTCGCGCACATACTCGTAATACCCAGTTTCATTCCCATTCACGACGAGGGTAGGGAAGAAATAGTGTGCGGAGACGCTTGGGATGATAGTCGCCGCGAGGGTGAGAGCAAACTGAATGGACTTCATGACGGTTGAAATAGAAAAAATAATGTACAAGTTTCAAGTAAGAAAATAATAAAAGATAGTAATAATCCCAACCACCAGGATTGAGATTCAGGGAAATGAAAGTGAGAAGAAAATAATGGATAGAATGCCGAATAAAAGGACACTCACTATCCCACAGGAGTGCAGGTTCGGTATTTATTACGTTGGTGTCTTCATTTTCGGCAGAGGAGAAACATAGGAGAAATTTAGGGGAAATTACTGTATTCTGCTTAAAGTGGCAATGAGCTAGATAGATCAGTGGACTCAGCTTGCTTCACTTGAAAAACACATCAGATTTGGATCAATCTGAAACGATGGGACCTGATATATCCGTACTCTTGGCAGGTATCGAAGTGAAACACCTAATATTGACCAACCACCGCTGTCGGATATGGCCCTAGTTCACTAAGTGCAAAGTGCAAACTATGCACTCCGTATCTTCGTCTCAGTCGGGTTTTATAGAGGTTGCATGATACTACATGCACAGGCAAAGACATCTGTTTCATAAAGGCACTCCGCTGCTGACTTCTGCGGAGTTGATATAGGAAGCACTAAAGCGGAAAGGGAAATCCATGTCCCGCCCAAAATCCGGTGTATATGGATTATCTCATAGACAAGAGAATCCACATGTATGTTGCCTATGATGTGGCTAAGTATCTTTTGTATGGGAAATGTATACAAAAGATACCTAATTTATTTGTGTTTACGTGCACCAACACTGCTTGACACAGTTAACGTTACATTATGCTATATATTCCAACACTGGAAAGACTATCATCTGTTAGCACTCGAAATTCAAATAGACTGGAATCAAGTGATGCAGATCAGCTTATCATTTTTGTTTCGTTATGTCCGACCTCGGGGAGCTTGGCTGCTTAGCTCCGTCTTTATATCTCCTGCTTACCCCCGTCCACTTCCAAGGTTCAATATCTCCATGACTGAATTCCCTAGTCCATCTAAGTCGCGAGTCACAATTGAAAACAGGTGAACCGAAAGAAAAGGGTTGAATTAAAAAAGGAAGGACATTTATGTACAATTGCCAAAAAAAATAGATCGCTAGCCACTTCCAAACGCCAGGGCTCAAACACATGTAGGTATGCACTCCAAAATTCTGCCAACATCGACTTGTTGATACAGAAAGTTATAATATAACAAAGAAGATAATATATACAACCTGAACTCAAAAGCATGAATCATTGCACATGAGGCATAACAGGTCTCCCTAGTAAGGAATGAAATCGAACTGCATTCGTTCTATACATGAGATGTTAGCACGGAAACACAACGATTTTAAGAAAAAAAAAAAAAAACCTTACCGAGGAAATGGCTCCAGTCTTCTCCCTCGCTGAGTTGGTTAGACCAATACTGCTCAAGGAATCTCAATGACTGCAGAACGTTCGGAACACGAATAGTGTCATGCAAGGATGACAGTAGTTGCCGGACTGTATCTCGATCTTGACTGCGCGCCTCGCAGCCCGCAATAAAGATTGGTGTAGTTAACATCACCCAAGGCGAGAGACCTGACGATGGTCCAATCTGCGCCGTGCACTCCAGAATACGCTGGACCGACTGCTGTACCTCTGGTGACGTAGTTGGTGTTTTCCGAAGTCGTCGGTGAATCTGGATGAGCGCACTGTGTTGGAATGCCTCATTGCATAGTAGGAGCTGCTGCGCAGTCTCCGCAGATAAGCCTTCTGCGGCCCTAGGATAAAACGAGGGCTGCGAGTTCGAGTCACGATTCATGAGCTGTCGAATTGCGAACTCCAAGGACGCGGCATCATCCTCGACACTGCCGTCAATTTCTCCTGCAACAAAGCCCTGAGTAGCCTTCTCGGCTTCATGGCTTCGCCAGGCGGCAGCACCGATCTGCCTAAAGACAGCCGCAAGGTCTACACTGAAACCCCAATAGTCATCTAAGTAATCAGGAGATCCGCCTAACCCCATCAAATCAGAGGAGGCGAAGTCCGAGATATCTCCAATGGGTGGACCATTGCCCGTCAGTGCTGTAAGCGACACGATCGACCAGTACCAGCGATCCAAATACTGCCGGAACCCGCTTGTAGACCGCAGGGAATCATCGCCAGCGGCGTCAGATGCCCTCATTAATGCCCTCGCCCCGTCAATATGTGCTCTCCACGAGTTCGGATTGATCGCCCCAGAATGAATCTCAGCTAGGCAAAGCGTCCGAGCTGTCGCTACCAGCGCCTCCGGGTCCTTGGACGAGGGATTCTGCAACTCTGTTCGGAAATGTTCAAGACTGAGAGCCATTAGCCGGGCAATATCCGGTGCTGATTTTACGCTCTCTGACTGGTTGTGTAGGGCTTGGATATGGATCGCCGATAGGGCGGTTGTAGCGTAGAGTAAGGAGGGAGTCTGAAGAGCCATTGGGATCAGCATGCGACATATGTCTTGCTGCATCCCCGAATGGCACGCTGTGATTTGAGAGGCATCGTTGATAAAATGGTGCAACAAAGCCTTTTGACTAGACGATAAGGACGAGAAAGGATCGACGGGTTGCGACAGAGTGAGATCTAATTCGGTTCTGGCGGCTGGCTGCGCCGTCTTCTTCGTGGTGTAGATAAACTCTCCTGGTGAATATTCTGCGATGGTCAGAACTATGTGCAAGGTTCCTTTAGTATAAAGTACATACCGAGTCTATGCATGCCTCCTGTGCCGACGCAAGCACCGAACCGGGATCGCGAGAATGCCCGTCCACCCCACTGCAACTGCATTGCATATTGGCATTGCTCGCCTGCAGTCTGGCAGCGCCCGCAGTTCGGTCTCTGCTCATCACATTTTTGTCGGCGTGATTTACATCTCTTGCAACCTGTGAAGGATCTCGACATGGGTGCTGCGGGTTGGTGGGATGATGTTCTCGAAGAATTCCTGCGGGGAATGGAAAGCTCCCCGGAACCCGCCCGCGTGGCAAATATTATTCTGGGGAATATGGGCTAAGGTGATTGAATATACCGGATTCTATAGAGATAAATCAAGGAGTAACTTGATAAGTCTTGCATCGTTACACATCTTGGGTTCTTTAGCGGTCGATCGCGATCCACCGTTTGGAGTATTGGAATATCAGAAACTAGTGAGCCATGAATGACATAGATGAGTATGATTCTAGGATCCCCAAGAAAAAAAGAAAGCGAGTATGCGCTATGGCAAGAAAATACACAGTACATGCCAACCAGAGTATATGTTCATCCTGGAAAGCCATCAACATATCAGAATGGTCTTTGAGGGATCAGCCCTCAAAGGTATATCGAAGCCACTCGCCGACAGCGTGCAAGCTCTCCCATCGTACTGTTTCATCTGAATCAACCATCAGTTCCATCACCCGCGTCTTTAGGCCCAGTCGCTCCAACTGCCCACGGCGTTCAGGAACCTCCTTCACTAAGTGCCCTACGTCGTTGCAAGCAATAGCCAAGACCTGCTTGTCGTTATCCCAACTCTTAGACAAAATCTCGACCAGTTTCTTGGGCAAGGCCCCGTTCGACTCCTCAACAATTCGGCGAGCATTTTCTTTCCAGAAAGTCGGGTTTTTGTGAGGGGGCGACCAGCGCAGGTGGCCCGACTGAACTTCGGCGGCATATTCGTCAAAGGTGGTCTGTGTCTTGGTGTACTCCTCCAACATGGAAGAGAGCGCGTTGAGGTCCTCGAGCAGGTCGGGGTCAGTCAGGTGACGACCAGTCAAGTTGACTAGGAGGGCGGGGAGTCGAAGGAACACGGCAATGGGCAGCAGAGTCGTCCGGTTGCTGGAGCAAAGATTGTACAGAGTTGCAAGAAGCAAGCGAGTGGTCTTTTCTTTCGGTGACAGACGCAGAAGGTGGGTGTAGAGTTGGATAATTTCATAGTTCCTAAGTGGGGTTAGTAGGCGCTCAGGGTGTAAATAGGTTGTTGTCACATTACTTACTCTTGAAGTTCATCGCCAACGAGAGCGCCCTCAAACGAAAGCTGCCACAGAACAAGGAGGACCCGATATAGAAGCTGGAGGCCAATACCACCGGCGAGACCAGGCTCGACGCTGCGAGTGCTGCTTCCCAGTGTGCTTGCGTTGGCTGTGTTGTCTTTAGCCCCCGCCGCAGCTCGAAGAGTATCGATCAAGGGGGCCAGAGTCTCTTGACGTTGTGCCCAAAATATCTCTCGGGATCGGCTTGTTCTCAGCAGCTCTGAGAATCCTTGGACACCAATGTCTTGGAGCCCGCTGTCCTGATTCTTGGTTAAGGTAGAGAGATAGGTGTAGAGTCGTGGGAGAGCCTCGTTGTCGCGCGGTGCAGGTTTGGATGAAGCAACTAGACTGTGCGACACAAGCGCCGTGAGGAAGGTGGACGTGAGCAGAGGAATAGGGTCTTCAGCGTTTGTCGAGTGTTGCAGGAACGGTAGGAATGGCTTGTAAGGTTCTGGGTGAGAAACAAGCGAGTTGGCCAGAGAAGGCACATCTATTGAAGGTCAGATCAGCATAGCTCGTCGGAAATCCAACTCCGCCAGCAGCAAATACCTTGAATCAAGTCCGAGGCCAGCACCAGTATATACTGCACGATATCGGTCCTTCGAGAGGCCGAGTCCAAGACACTCTTTCCCTGTGCGCCGCCGACCAACAACTCTGTGTATCCAGCAAGATCTCCTTCTATCGTCTGGCGGCGTTGGTCCTTGCGCACCTTATCCACCGCCTTGATCTTCTTCAAGTGGTCATCGGTGATGTTGCCCGCTCGGACGGCACCCTCCCAGGGAATTGGGCGAGCTCGAATATTATTCTGGAGGGAGCCGAGGTAGGTAGGTGGCTCCAGTGACATTGTGAGTGTAATCTGGGAGATTCGGAGCCAGGAAAAAGAGCGTCGCTGGCTGTGAACGGATAACTGGAGGTGTGTCCAGAGAGACGGGGGAGCTTGGGGATGACGGAAGCCTGTGCCAAGACCGACGGTATCTCAACGCATAGCCTCAACTTGTGTTTTCTCTTCTCTATTTTGTTTTTCGCTTCATATTTCTTTTATTGTTCCTTGACTCTATAGATCTTCTTTTGCTGATCACTTGCCTCGCGTTCACTGGCTTATCGGCCCAGCGCCTTAGTCTTTTGTCTGGTTTCAGCCTAGTACCTTGAATTCGGCTTAAATCCTGCCACTTTCTCTCATTTCGCAGCAAGCCCTTGCCATTGCCACCTAGCCTTCGATACATCTAGCAAGAATCGTCATAAAATTGACTCTGGAACGTCCCCCACGATAATCGCAACAACTCGACGTCCGAGCGCAACCCCCACCGAATCCATGCGAATGCGACACGAGGCATTTGTTGCTTAGTAGCCTGTTCGCAATTTCCAATACAGTAATTCTGCCACGATGGCGCAGAACTCGCAGACACAAAAGCAAAAATGGGGAGTCGGCTCTTTTTTCCAGCAGGCAGTAGCTGGCGTCGAGTCTCGGCTGGATCACATCTTGATGGATGAGGATGGAAACCAGACCTCTGTCGCAAAGTCCACTGATACTCAGGGCGGAGAAGAACCACCAACAAAGGCTCCTATTGCTTGTATGAAATCCACAACACATGTACGACCCGTTAGAACTGGCTAACATCTTTTAGCGGTTTCCCGCAGTTCATCGACCGCGCGAAGAAATGACCGGCTTCAGGAACGTCTAGCCCGAGCTATGATGAAGCAAAATGCCTCGAATCTCTCTTCCCAGTCTCCTCAGAACCGAGTCTCATCACCGCCTGTTAGTCCAGTACCTAGCAATGGAACTCGGTCGAGTATGGACATCGATTCAAGCGTTGCTTCGGTGAATAGTGCGGCGGAAGACCCCAAGATCTCTCAGCCGAATGACGACAGCAATGCAGCTAAATTAGAATCGCCGAGAATAAGCTACGACTCCGGCGCATCGCCGCGTGTTTCAACGGACATCAGCGTCGCAGACTCCGCGCCCAGGATCTCTCTAGATGTGGCTCACCCATCAACCGACTCGGCCAAAGCGAGTCAAGATATGTCGGGCTCGCAACGCAATGAGATACTAAGTGATATTGCTTCCGGCGATAGCCCACGGGTTAGCGTTGAATCGCCATCAGAGATACCGGAGGGTGAAAAACCAGATATCGCTCGCTTGCAGGCTGAGCATAAAATTGCCGAATCTCAATGGCAAGAAGAAATGCATGGTTATATTGAACGTATTGATGCATTGCAGTCGAAGTTGAAATACCTCGCTAAGGATGCTGCGGAATCGGCTAAAAATGCTGCGGCAAGTGCTACCCCAGGGAGTGTGCAAAAACAGCTCCTAGAGAAAGATGAGAAGATTGCATTGCTTCTTGAAGAAGGGCAGAAGCTGTCTAAGTCGGAGATGGACCACCGCACGGTGATTAAGAAATTGCGCCAGCAACTTACCGAAAACACCAAATCTCAGACTGAGATGAAGAGAAAAACGGACAAGCTTGAGCGAGACTTGGTCAACTCCGAAGCAAGAGCCAAGCGGGCAGAGGCGGCGGAGAAGAGGGCAAACGAGTCTTTATCATCCCAAACAAAGTCAACTAAAGACTTGGAAGCTGTTACCAACGAACGCAATGCGCTCAGCCAGACTGTCCAAGAGATTAAATCGCAATTGAGTCGGGCGGTTTCCCGCGCTGAAACCGCCGAGACAAAGGCAAACTCTGATGCTCTAGAATTGGAGAGGCAACGGGCAACGGAGCTAGACGAGGAGCTATGCAACCTGAAGATCGAGCGCGACATCAGTGAAGAAAAATCCAAGAGGGAGATTACCGAGTTGAAGGAGAAGATGGAGCAAGAGAAAGAAAGGGCTCGGATGCTTGAGGCCGAATTGAAAGGCGAACAGTCTCTCTTGGAAAGCAAGATGGAAAGTCTTCGCTCCCGCGCAGAGGAAGCGTCGTCGGGGGCGACAGGAGAGACCCAGGCCAAACTTTTGCGTCAGATCGAGACACTGCAAACCCAATATGCTGCTGCTAGTGAAAATTGGCATACACTAGAGGGCTCTTTGCTCGCACGCCTGGCTAGTGTGGAGAAAGAACGTGATGATACTGGTCGACGTGAGGTCGACCTCCGGAAGAAGATTCGAGAGATGGTAAGATCTCAAATTCCATACCTTGATTTACCGCGAGATTAACTAACATAAATGTAGAACCAAAAATTAAAGAAGCTCGAAGAGGAACTAGACAACGCCAAAGAAGCCGAGCACGATTTGGACAGCAGGCTCGAGGAACGCATGGAAGAGCTGCAGAAGCTGCAACATAAACTCGAGAAAGCAGCAGAGGACCTCGCCTCAACGCAGAAGGACATGGCCGAGCAGAAGAAAACATGCGACGCAACGTGGGCGCAGAAGCTCGAGGAGGAACGGGCCAAGTGGAGAGAGCAGGTGAACTCCCCGTCGAACTTACGTGGAGTATCACCCGTTGCATCTCTACGGCGATCGAGCACTCTCGACACCATGAACGCAGGGCTGTCGGACTTCCGCCCTCCTAGCCGGCGCTCATCTGCTATGCCTTTCGCCTCACCGGAAATTGGCACGCCGCCTCGGCAAAACTCCTACCCTGCCTCAATCACGCAAGCCACCCTTTCTCCTCCACACATCAACACCAATTCATCGTTCATGGGTGCGCCCTCTATCAGCTTTGAGCCGGAGGAGTATTTCGAAGATTCTGGTACTCCTGCCACCCCTTCGGCGTACGGCGGCACCCAGGCACCTCCATCGCGCGGTATCAACGACATAATCTCCGAGTCAACCGTCGGCGCTGGCCCTTCTGTACAGCTGGTCGAGCGCATGAGTGCCACAGTTCGCCGCCTAGAGAGCGAGCGCGCCGGCTCCAAGGACGAGTTGGCCCGCGTGACGACCCAGCGGGACGAAGCCCGGCAACAAGTTGTGGACCTTATGCGTGAGCTCGAAGAGAAACAGCACTCGACTTCCCGCGTACAGGAACTCGAAGCTGAACTCGAAGACCTTGATCAACGCTACCAGACTACTCTTGAGATGCTGGGAGAGAAGAGCGAGCAGGTTGACGAACTCAATGCTGATATCGCTGATCTTAAGAAGATCTACCGCGAGCTGGTTGACAGTACTATGAAATGAGGGCGAACTGGTTAGATGTTTACCTACCATTTAGTGAGCCGCCTGGATACTGCTTGGCTGGGACCATTCAAGCTTAGAATTAACCTACTCGGGTTTGTAAATAGCATATATCCTGTCTTGTACAAATCAATCGATGTCATACAACGAACTGCATCACAGCGCGCCTTCCCTTTTAGGCGGAGCAGTCATACTTTCCCTCCTTCTACGAACATTGGGTTTCTAGCCATTTAGACTTGGGAAATACCCGTATGATTCAAAACGTTGCTATATGGACAGGAAAATATCAAGAAGATGCAGAATGCACCGAGTTCGCAGCGTTTGGCCTAAACTGCACCAGTTGCTGAGCACTTTCACTCTGCCTCCTATCCCAACTCGCAAGAAGAACATTAAGCAGCTCATTGGCGACACCCAGCAACAAGAAAATCGCAATAACCTGTCCAAACGTCCATCCTTTCTCTTGAGGGTCAAGATCGTTGCGACTGATAGTCTGCTCCAGCGACACAATCAAGTATATGCAGAACGAACAGTAAGCGACCTTGTTCAGCGTATATTTAAGCAGCGCCTGGCCATGCAGTCTCTCAGGTGGCTCGACACGATCCTGGTAAACAGGATGATTGACTTCCACAAACCAATTCATCCAACCTCTCTTCTGGCCCTCAATCCTGTTTCCAGCCTCGGGATGCCGTCTTCGGTACCTAACGTACCCACACAGACACGGCAGCATACATGTGAAAGTAAGAGCATAACCAGCCACAACCGCACCCAACGTCCCGAGGATGATATACCGGAACACGGGAGAAGTGGCTTTAATGCTGACGCCAAAGACCACATACACCGTATCCTTGTTACACTGACGTTGGCTGCCAAAATGCGGCGCAGTTACCCAGACATAGACATTCAAAGAGAGGAAAGCTGCCAAAGCCAGGATCTGGAGTGCGGCAAAGAAATATAGTCGCCATGGGCCGAGTCCGGCATACCGGCCTTTGCTCACCAAGTCCATGCCAAGTATGGCGAGGAGGTGAACGACACATATTGCGTGGAAGAGTGTTAGGTCGCCCCGGACTGTCTGGTAAATGGCTGTGCAGAGGAGGGCCAGGCCTTGCAAGCCGAGGGCGGAGGAGACGCCTCGCGAGAACTCTTCTTGGTCTTCGCCTGGGGCAAATACGCGGAGTAGATAGCTGACGATCGACCCGCCTAGACAGAGGGCGTAGATTGATACACGAATCTGGGGATGATTATTTAGCTGGGGGTTTTCTTTGTTCACAGTCTCAAGGTAGGGAGCTAAATGGCGATAGGATGAGAATGATGACATATGAGACAAGACTTACTCCGACCCCAGATACATCGGGGTTAGCCTCAATGACACAGGCTGTTGAGTTCATCCTGGGTGACACAATGGTTGTAACGACTTTTCAAGCAATATGCTACAGCGAGCTGAGTGGAGGGGTGAGAGGCTCTATATCTTAGTCTCGGTTCAAGTGTCCATTATCGTAGATCCCTCGATGACTCTCTCTCGGTTCGCCTGACGAAAAGCCTAAGAAAATCAAGGGAAAAAGGAAAAAAAAGCCATGTGCCCGGGCATGACAGTGGCTAAGCAACAACCTTGCGCCACGAAAACCCGATCATCAGTCCAAAACCTCATTCTTCAAAGTTTAATAGATGCAAAAAGGCAGCGGCTGAGTCTGCCAAGACGACCTTAATTGCACGGGGATTGGGTCGCCTCAGGATGCCCCATCTGGCGCCCGAACGATTGCTTACTGCAGTAACCGCTAAGCCCGAAGTAGGTCTCCTGGAAGGAACGCCAGAGACTTAGTTTCGGTAAATAAGTCCTTTGATTGGTCAATCGGGAACTATATCATCAAACTACTGCAGCCCTTCGTTTAGCTTCGTGATGAATTTCCCTGTTTCTCATCCAAACAAGATACTGTACCTTTTCAGCCTCCTCCGGCGTCATCCATGTGACTCCACGAGGCTTTTGGCAGGACATGGGGGAGCTTGCCTTATCTATTAAGCCTTGGCTAAGAAATTGGATTTTCTTATAAGACGTTCAGTCTCATTTGCAGGGCCCAAAATTCGACTTTGCCAATCATTACTACTTCTATTACAGTACATAACAATTCTCGCCATGGATATGGACGACATCCCACTTCCAGCTATCAACAGTAAGCTCGCTTTTCTTTTTACCCATGAACCCAAAGCAATTCAGAATGACTTCCTCCTTGCGACTTGATCATGCTTTATTTCAATACTTACTATTCCTTTTACTCTAGTATGGACCTTCTTCGCCCTGGCTGCGCTAGACATCGCAGCAAACGCGGCCGCCGGTCCAGCTGCAGTAGCGACCGCCGCACATGTTAATGGGACTCCACTGACAGCGAGAGCAATGCAAATCGGTGCACTCGCTGGAGTCACTAAATCAGGGGTATTGGCATTCGTCGAATTCGCGAGTTATGCGGGATTGCCAACGCCCGCGTGGATACTATTGGCTTTAGTGGCAAGTGGATTTGGAATATGTGTTCTGGTCACGGCGGAGGTTAGCAATTTGGTACTTGGAGAAAGTGAGTATAAGTCTGTGCTGTGGAATTTGGCTAGAAGCTCTGTATTGCGTGGCTTGAGCTGGTCGTTATGATGTGTCTGGTTATTGTGTCTAACTGTATATAGCACCGAGCGCGTTGCTTATTGCGGCTGTTGTCGCTGCTATTCCACTTGCAGGAGAATGTATTGGGATATATCAATGTAGGTCCTTTTTTCTTCGCCTGCAGCTCTTCATTGCTAATCTTGTTTTGTGCTTCAGCCGCCGGGGGGCTGTATGGTAGTAAACCTCAGACACAACTTTGTGTTATGGGGCTCGATGCGTTAGGGGGATACGTCTTTGCTCGTATGGCACATAACGGAGGTCAGTTTCCATCTCTTCTATATCATGAAAGCTCTAGGGGTTATTCTCTTCGCTGCTCCTGTTCAATCTGTTGACGTATGACTTGACTAATACTTGAATTTTGTACCTGCAGGCTACGATGTCTGCCCATACAACGTTGCCGCTGCCGCTGGGGCTGTATACGGTGTCATCACCGGTTTCTTCCATACTATCCTTGGGTGTATGGCCGGGTTTACCAGTTATGAAAGCACGAATGGAAATTATGAAATGCGGAATGTCTTTGGGACTTCGCGAGGGTATAATCCCAATTGGAATCGGAATGCCTGGAATTGATTCTTACATTTGGATATCTGTTTAACAACTAATATTTGTGAGTATTATGAAGGGGAGTTTTTTCTTGTTTGAATAGGCGTCTTTTACTTTCTTGGGATGTCTAGAAATATACGAACAAGACTCCTGATTCAACATTTCCCATGATTCTGTCTGAAACTCAAGTCACTATTCGATAAGGATTTTCTGGATCAAGTGCTCACTTTGTCGAGTCGGAAAAGTACGTTGGTCACTTTCTCTATGCCGCAAAACACCTCCATCAGCAACTTCTTCCATTCAACATCCATTTATGTGAAGCCAAAGCGACCACTATATTTGAGGCATTTGACATGTATCCTTGTGTTTGACCATCTATACATCCGGGTTCGGTCATAACGAAGACCATCACGATCGACCTAGTCACACGTAACCTTGGATGCCAGTTGGTTTGGTGTTTCGACCGCAATTTTTGCTTTTGGTTTCTTGTCGTCGGGATGCTCTAGAATAACACCAGAACCGATGGACAAGAAGCCCCATTCAGATGCCCCATGGAAATTTTTTGAGGTGGCTGGAATGATCACATCATCGTTGTGTGTCGTGGGTTAGCTGCATGCGATACATCACTTCTCAAATGGTTCGCCTACCGCCAACGAGACTGGAAGATGGCACAGCGTACTCCGTATATCTGTCAGAGCTGGGTTTGATTAGGGATCAAGGAGAAGTATTTGGAAGGGAACCTTGGAAGGGCCAAGGCCCTGATCCCTGATCATATGCACCGCCATAGTCATAAGACACGGTTTGGAGACATCATGTGTGTATGAGCCAGATACTGCACCAAATACATCAAAAATGCGCTAGGTTCCCAGCATACCTCTGTTTAGAGAGGTACAAGCAGTAAGGGTCCCTGAAACAGCGAAATGCAGCATCGAGACATCTACGGAGTACGGAGTACGGAGTACTTTTTAGCCGCTCGATGGCTCTAGACATCAACTGCTTCTAATGATAGAATGGCTGTGGCTGGGATTTAAACAAAGCCAGAAAATCACTGATCGCCAAACAGGCGTGAGTTATGTATCAAGTCTGTGAATGTGAGACAAGTTCAAGGGTGAGACATGGTCTAGACTGCGCGTTAAGGGAGTGGATCAAACGGGGGTGCATAAGCCACTTTTCTTTATTGACGTGCAGGTGGACTGGGATAACTGTTTAGTGCTGTGTGTAAATTGACTACGGAGTACTCCAGAGTTGATGTTGATGTGAAAGGCTAGGTGGGTGTGCAGTTGGATCAAGTAACCTTAGGTAGTCCCAATTCATTATTGATATCAAATAAAAAGTGATATATGTACTGCTATGTACTACTTCACGCTGTCTCGGAATCATGCACTCTCAGCTAGTCTGCAACAGCTATGGTGGGTCGTTATGGAGCAGCCCTACGTATTTTAGAACAGTTTCCATACAATATATCAGACCACCTCACATGGCTATTTTTGTATCACAGTTGCTAGGATCGTAACATTCAGTTTGATTTCTGAACTATATATTGTGATACAAATGAAACAATTGTCTCCAAGAACTCTAATACTCTAACACAGTACGAATCCTAGAAGTCGAATAAACGCTCTGAGGTACGGAGTAAAACACACGGAGTAGATTGATAAGGGGTTAAGATACAATATGTAAGTATAATAAATAATCTCGGACCATAGTGCTAATTAAGAGTAGTCTGGTGAGTAGTGGGCTATTTACATGGGAAATATATGTACCGCATAGAGTTTAATCCTCGAATCCTCGAATCCCGAGCAAGGTACACATTGTTGTCCAATCAGTTCCAGGGGCATACAACAATAATTGCTGAAGGCAATGTCTTTTTAGGGCCTTCAGTGCTGAGCAACTTATATAATCTTACTCTGTATATGGATTATACTCCGTACGGAGTACAAAGTATAACCACATTGGCCAACTTCCTGATGTGACACGATGCAGGAACAGGTTCATTAGTACCTAGGCGCTTGGCCCGTTGAAGTAACATGCCGGCCCACGCGCTGGTCCGAGTGTCTGGCGAAACGCCCTGTTGATCGACGTCTCGCTTTTATTGGACACGGTAAAATGGTTAGCGTGCAGCATTTGAATTCAGCACGTTCTCCCAAGGAGCGGTCATAAAATTGAGGAGCTTGGGCCAGTGAGGGTACTCCCGAAGGAGAAAAGGGGCATCTCCACTAGAGATGTTTTTTTTTACGGCCCCTTAATTTATTACAAACAATGAGATATTGAGTATGATTCTATATACAAAAAAACAATATATAATATATAATAAATCTAGTATAGTGATATAAAATGGGTGTACTCCGTAGGGTAAAGTAGATCGTAGTAAGCTCAAATGTCAAAAAGTAGACAGAAAGTACTTTCAAGTGTCTTTTGCGTATTAAAGATAAGGAAGGTTACAGAAAAAGTACATGTCAGGTACAAAGGCGGCTACCCCTGAATCTGCCAAGCATGGATCCAACCTGGGACGTGCTAATCTGTCCATATCCACGACTCAAGGGGCTCTTTGTGCCACTTGACACTATTGAATGTTCTATTTTCATATTTTGCTTATCGTATCCATATACTCCATACGGGCTATACACAATATAGAGCATTTTACTTCATACTGAGCACTGAGTACGGGATATACACACACAAAAAATGCGGATGTCAATCATATCGCCACAGGTTCAAGTGATGTCGATCGTACCGGTCAAAACACCATTGTGAGATGTATTCGTACCAATTGAATCCATGCAAGTCCAGACCCACGCCAGCCCCCCTGCGCTCCACCCACGCTTACTCGTCCCGAAGCCAGCGCTAATGAAATGGAGAACGGGCGGTTTGCGCCAATCGCCCCGGCTTGTCAATAGGACTTTCTCCTTTTTCCTCATTTCCTTTCTTTGATACTCTCCTGAGAATAATCCTTACCCTTTTGGTCGTCTCATTGGCGCGTGCCATTCTCTTTCCCGTGCTAATCGGCATGAGCGACTGTCGATCCATGGCTATTTTTTGATACGGACCAGGGTGTTTCATGGCGTCTCCTCTTGGACTCGGCGGCTCTCCCGCCCATTCAGAGAGCTCTAGTCCCAATTCCCCAACTACTCCAGTGCGAAGGAAACCTGTCCCGAACAATGGTGATCCAGTGACTTCGGGCCCTGACCACCCCTCCTCTCCTATTTCGCTCGAGGGAGATAAACCCACTTCGATTCCCACTGCACCCGTGGCCAGACCACTCTCCCCTTTATCGGTGGATGGAGACTCATTTATATCGGTACAGAAGAACCCAAATAGGTACGCGACTAGCATGACCCCGGCTTTTCACTCTCCCGGGTCTTTTTTGTAGAGCCTCCTTTTTCTCCCCGGATACCTACACATCCAGCATGATATGGCCTATACATGCTATTCCGCTACTCTAGAGTCTGGAAGGCTAATCGTGTGCCTCTGTCCCAACTTCGCAGATACTCACGAGGACGGCACCCAACCCAACCCCTACACATCGATACCGCCGCCTCCCGCGGCTCCGCCTCATACTTAAGATCCGTGCTTGAGGACGACGACGACGACGACGACGAGAGTCCCGACTACTTTGACGAAGCATACGAACACCAGTTCATCAGTGCAACCCCCCTGCACAGTCGTCTAGATAGCGAACCATTCATCCCGGTCCTCAACTCCCCTCCTCCAACGAAACGATCGTCACGACGGGCAACGAGTATGGCATTGCATATGCCCATGAACAGACCACCTCTACATATTGACGTGGATTCGCGCTCAATGTCAATGTCAATGGGGGCGGGAGATCCAAGACAACCAAAACCATCCGGAGGCAAGATCAGCTCCTTCTTCGGATGGAAGGCAGCGAATAATAATACAGCTACATCCCCTGGGGGCGAATCATCGAGCACCGAGATCTCCGACTCCGGTCGATCAGCAATGCCTTCCCCCATGCCACCATTAGCAAATGTCCCTTTCAGACCCGGCTCTCCATACGATACCAAGACCAATGGATATAATCTTCCCGCGCGGACCCCTTCACTGGGGGCTTCAAGTTTAAAGGAAAATATATTTATGTCTAAAATGACAGAGATTGAGAATGAATTACGAGAGATAAGTTCCGAATTGGCAGGATCTATTCGCCGAGAAATGGATCTAGAGGATCTAGTTGAACGGTTACAATTAGAAGGTCCGGACGTCAATCGACGGACCAGTGACTATTTCTCAGACTCGGGTACTAGCTCTGTTCGCTATGCGTCAGATTCCGGGAAGAGCGAAGATATCGAAAAGATTCGTCGCGCTGCAGAGCAAGAACGGGCACAGCTCAAGGTCGAATTATCGCAGAAATTACAGGAGGAACGGTTCCAGCGGTTGGCATCAGAGTCGCATGTCCAAATCTTGGAATCTCAAGTTCAACAGGTACGGCTGGCAAATAATGCGCAACACGCGACTGCTAACATTTATCTAGCTTCGACGCGAGAGAACGGATACGTCTGATTTGTCGTCAAAAACCAAGGAACTCGAGACCGCTCTGGAAAATACCAAGCGAAAGCTGCTTGAAGAGCGACAATCCAAAGATAACTTCGAAGACCTGCTTACCGCCATGCGAGTAGAGTTGGAACAGTTGCGTAATGATCGAGATCAACTTCGAGATGGCAACCATCTCATGGAGGAAATTGAAGCTCTAAAAATCGAAAACGCCTCTTTGGCTCAGCTACAGGGTGGTCGATTCGCCTCAATCGCCGAGGAAGGTAGCTCACCCAGAAACTCGGCATTTGGAGTAACACGATCGAGCTCCATTGCACGCAAACCCAGCGGCTTAGCTCGCTCGGGCTCACTTTCTCGGTCCAACTCAGTCAATAATAACAGCGGTGGTAAATCACCCGAAACCCGTGAATCCTTGGTTGATAAGGTCCACGATATCGAGGTTCAACGCGATGCCCTCCACCGAACAGTGCGGAGTCTTCTCGATCGCCAGGCATACCAGGCCCGCGACTACGAGAAGCGCACTCGTATGCTCGAAATAGAGCTTGCTCGAGCTCAGCAATCGGGTCAGCCACAGAAATTGGGGTATGAGAGAGATGTCCGCAACCTGCGTGACGAGGTCAATCATCTCCGCATGCGCGCTGAAGATGCCCTGGATGGCAAGTGGCAGTGCGAGAAGAACCTTGCTGGTCTCAAGATGGACTTGGACCGTGCTGAACAGGAGACCAGCTCACTACGCGCACTTCTTCTGGAGGACACTACCGCTGGTGCAGAGTTGATGACCGGCCAAGAGGGGTTTGCTGAGGTCGTGACCACATCCTCTTCCCTGCAATCTACATTCCAGCAATTGCAGGCGGAACGGGCCAAGGCCGAGGCGCATGTTGCGAACTCGGAAGAGCTTGCTTCCTCCCTTGTCCGGACCGAGGCGCTGGGCAGCAAAGTCCACTATCAGCTTCAGACCAACACCTCTCTACATGCCCGTCTAGCAGCGGCCATTGATAAGGGCGACAAAGATCAGCGGATCTCGGTTGAACGGATTAATATCCTGCAGAACCACATGAGAGAGCTAGAGGACGTTCTTTTGGTTGCACAGAACCACTCGGAAGAAGAGATGAGCAAGCACGAGGACGAGCTTCGTTTGCTGAAGGAAAGCCAGAGTGCCCAGCTCACGCGGATGATGAATGGCGGTCGCAGTCCTGTCATCCTCTCACCCCGGCCGCCGAACACACCATTCGATTCTCGCTCGCCGCGTCTGGACCAGACCACGAGCGGCGAGGGCGTACCCTTGACCGAGGTTGTCCAGTCCGAAATCCTCGAGCGACGAGTGAAAGACCTCGAGAAGCTCCTCCGCGATGCGGATATGGAGATGGAGCAAGTTGTTGGACGGATGAACCGCACTCAGATTGATGTGGCTCAGCTTCAAACTGACAGGTATGCAATTCGTGTTTTATTTCATATTCCCCTCTTTTCATCCCATCTTTTTACTAATTCAACCTACAGAGACGATGCTCTCCGCCAGACCCGCCAACTCCAGACCGAAATCCAAGCTGAACGTGATGCCCTTCGAGGGCTCATCAACGCCCTGTAATTTTGACAAACTCTCGCGCTTTGTCCTTTCCTACTGCCTTACTATACCACGTCTGCATATGCATTTGCGCTCCCATCGCCTGCGATGGTAGAGTACAATATCTTGGAGTTAGCCCGGAGTCCCGGGTTTTTGTTTTTGGGTTCTCTTATGAAGATCATGCGTGTGGCATCAAGCTGATCTCTTCTCTAACTTGGGCTTGGGGCGTTTTGTCTTTTACACTCACGAGACTGGTGGTTGACTGTTGGTCGCGCTTGTATATAGAAACCGTCTCTATTTGGGTAAATATTTAATCTACTGTACAGTATCATTGATCTGATACTCATGGAATATGTCGAAATCAGCTAGGAGTAATGTATAAGTGAGACTAATATCCAAGTCTATGGACTCGATGTGTTGTTGCACATGCGACGTTTGTTTGGTTTGCATCTTCTTATCATCTGGGTGCCACGCCGCTTGGAAACCCCAGCTTGAATATCACATTCGCTTCGTGCTCTGTCTATCATTAATCGCATCGGAATATATACCTTCGGAAATAGCTTCTCAATAGTCCTCGCTTCAGTTGACCTCCAACACATCTCACGAAACCCCTCCTCAGCCTGGTCGCATTGCTCAACTACAAACAGACTACAAATACAAACAACGAAACGAGCTCCACCGCAAGACCAAACAAAGCGCTATCGAGTCAAAGAAGTAACGTCTTGGAAGTTTGAAAACCCAGGGTGTTCTTTCCCTGCCTCACACCGGCGGTCCCCTCGAACATATCCATTTTCAAGGGCGACAAAGAACCAAAAGTCTGAAACAAAGCGCCGGCGAGCCAAATAAAACCACGGACCTGACACGCGAGGACCTTTCTCACCTGTCTCTCCCTCGTCGACTATTTCAACAATAAGGAATCCTCAAAGATACTCAACGACACAACCATCATGGACTTCCTACCAGGTACCTACCTCACCTACCCTAGCCGTATAGATGCAATATCGCAACGCAAAGTCCCACAAACTAACCATTCATTCCACACAGAAAACCTCCAAACAGTCCTCCAAAACCCCACATTCACCTACCTCCAAACAACAACACAAGACCACCTCACAACAAGACTCTCGCACCTACGCGCAATGGTGCTCCAACCATATTTAATCGAGCCCCTCTCGACTTTCCTCTCCTCATACTCCTCCTCCATGCCAGACCTGCTCTCAATATTCCTCGTCGCCGTCATACTCTTCGTCTCCCTTAAGATTATAGACTACGCCTACCGCGTGGTCATGTTCTGGGTCACGCTCGCTTTCAGGGTCGTCTTCTGGGGCTCGATTATCGGTATCGGGTGGTATGTCTACAGCGTTGGTATTGAGAATGCGGGTAGGGATTTGGGGTGGATTTGGGGTGTGGTATATGGGTTTGTGGGCGATTTTCAGGAAAAGAGTAAGATCGCTGCGGCGGCTTATGCACAAAATACGAAGTAGCCCTGGAGGGTGGCTTGGTTTGGTTTATTGGATGTTTGATATTCAAGATCCTCGGCTTGTTACTTTTCTGACCAGCTGGTATGCCTGTTTGGGGGTATGATGAAAATGCGCAATGGGTCTGCCTGTTTCTTTAATTCATTCTGCTGAATTGGTCTAGCGATTAACGACTTGTTTTGGAGTTCTAGATATGAGAATATTCATGAATTGGTTTTGATTTCATTACGGTTTCATTATTATTTCTGTTATCTGAGGATATGACCGAATATCCATTTGCAGTGTAGAAAGCTCTCAACTTGGACTCTGGTAGTCTCAGCCATGGTTGGGTTGCAAGTATGGTTGATTCCAGACGTCGAGGAAGCTCCAAATGTTGTGTAGTCCGGCGTGACAAGCATATTGGAAAGTTTTCCATTATCATAAGGTCGGCCGTAAAATAGCAACGTGAGATGAAAAGTGGAAGTGGGCTTTGTCTCAGACTGCTCCGCTACCGGAAACTCGAGGCTGCTGCATGGGGTGGATGAAGTGGTGGGGTCATGAATGTGCCGGGGATCTGACTGCAAGTCACAGCGCTGCAATAATCACATGTGATATCCCTCAATCCTCATAGTTCACATCAACTGCATCCTTGGGTTCTCTCGGTTCCTGGGCCTCATGGTATTGGATAGCATCATCGATGTGGCTCACAATCGCCGCGACGCTGTCCTCATCCGAGACATCCAATTGCAGGAACGAAACCATACTGAAATCGTCGATCAATTGTCCGACGGCCCGGTTGAGCTGCTTGAAAGATCCGCCGCTCATCAAGGATTCCGTAGCCATGGGGTTGGCACCTGCGGTGAGATCGTCCTCTTCCTTCTCTTGCAGCAATTGCACATCCACGTTGGTAAACCGTTTCAATTCCCGACGTGTGACCATATCGCGAACCTGATCCATCTTGCTGAGAATGTTGACGTGCGGCATCTCCATCATCAGCATGGCGGACATGGCACTGAGTGTACCGGCGAAGAATTTGGCTTTGTCGATGACAAAGGTGCTTTCGAGTAGGTAGGCGGCACACATGTTGATATTCAATGGGCCTTGGCGGGAGAGGAAAGTTGTGAGGGTTGGTAGAAGAGGAATGTGGGTGTAGAGCTCGATTTGGCCAGGCATGTCGAAGATGATCAAATACTCTTCACTCAATGGCTCCAGTGCCTCTGATAGGAATTCCAGATTCTGGAGTAGGAACTCAAAGCAGTAGATGAGACCTCCATTTGGTCCCAGACCCATCTCTTCCATCACATCTTCCAAAGTGATCAGGTCACGAATGTCGAGATCTGGTTCGTAGGCGAAGGTCTCGGCGGCGGGGTCAAGGTTCACGTAGAAACAGCTGCGGCGGGTGGTTTGAAGATGTTGAATGATTGCATTGCTAAAGGTGGTCTTGCCTGCGCCAGCAGGGCCCATCACTAGGACACCAAATTTGGACATGGTTCAACGTTGTATATTGGAATATAAAAGGTACAAAAATACCTAGGTAGGTTCAATAGTCTATCTTATCACCAGAAAATTCCAGGCCGTGTTAATCTGCCTCTATTCACCGCCTCATTCACCGCCCCAAAATGGCGCGATCACGGCTGAGGAGGGATGGGAAGTACCGCGTACGGAGTACAACGAGGGTACTTCGGTAGTACCTGACTGGTCCTCCACTCACACTATCTTTTCTCTGGTACCGTCAAAGTCACTAAGAAAAAAAAGCAAAACCCCACCAAAATCCCCCCTCCCCGAGGAGATCTTCCTCCCTTTCCTCCCTCCCTCTCCATTCCTCTTTCCCCCTTTTTTTTCCAGTTTTTCCACACACACCGTCACAATGGGTTCTGTTTCAAACAGCGGCACTTTCCTCTTCACTTCCGAGTCTGTCGGCGAGGGTCACCCCGATAAGATTGCGTAAGTTATACCCTGATTCCATTTCTGCCCTCGAAGAGTTATTAGATCAATTCTCATTGTTACATGTATTGACCCCTCAATAGTGATCAGGTTTCCGATGCCATTCTCGATGCCTGCCTTGCTGAGGATCCCCTCTCCAAGGTTGCTTGCGAGACTGCCACCAAGACTGGTAGGTTGACTATGTTTACGTGAGGCCAGATCTCAATCTGACAAGGTTACACTAGGTATGATTATGGTCTTTGGTGAGATTACCACCAAGGCCCACCTGGACTACCAGAAGATCATCCGTGGTGCCATCAAGGACATCGGTTACGATGCCTCCGAGAAGGGTTTCGACTACAAGACCTGTAACGTCTTGGTTGCCATTGAGCAGCAGTCCCCCGATATCGCTCAGGGTCTTCACTACGATGATGCTCTTGAGAAGCTCGGTGCCGGTGATCAGGGTATCATGTTCGGTTATGCCACCGACGAGACCCCTGAGCTCCTGCCCTTGACTGTCCTCCTCTCTCACAAGCTTAACTCTGCCATGAAGGCCGCCCGTAAGGATGGTTCCATCCCCTGGTTGCTCCCCGATACCAAGACCCAGGTCACCATTGAGTACGCCCACGACAACGGTGCCGTCAAGCCTCTGCGCGTCGACACCGTCGTCGTCTCTGCCCAGCACAGCGATGATGTCTCCACTGAGGAGCTCCGCGCTGTCATCAAGGAGAAGATTGTTCGTAAGGTCATCCCCGCCGAGCTTCTCGATGACCGCACTGTCTACCACATCCAGCCCTCTGGCCGCTTCGTCATCGGTGGTCCTCAGGGTGATGCCGGTCTCACTGGCCGTAAGATCATCGTCGACACCTACGGTGGCTGGGGTGCTCACGGTGGTGGTGCTTTCTCCGGAAAGGATTACTCCAAGGTCGATCGCTCGGCCGCCTACGTTGCGCGCTGGATCGCTAAGTCTCTGGTTAACGCCAAGCTTGCCCGCCGTGCCCTCGTTCAGCTCTCCTACGCCATTGGTGTCGCTGAGCCCCTCTCCATCTTCGTTGAGACCTACGGTACTTCCACCAAGACCTCCGACGAGCTGGTCGAGATCATCCGCAACAACTTCGATCTCCGTCCCGGTGTCATCGTGAAGGACCTTGACCTGGCCAAGCCCATCTACTACCAGACCGCTAAGAACGGCCACTTCACTAACCAGGAGTTCTCCTGGGAGTCACCCCGTGCCCTCAAGTTCTAAGCGGGCTCTGCTTGATCCGGTGACTCCGGACAACTCTTGACGACTGTGATGATTTGCTTTGTTTTCAACAACTCAAAGCACGATGAGCATAGACTATAAAAAAACCCTCATAAAATCCAGAAGTTAGTTTCCCCTTGGAGACCGACTTCTCTTGTTTCATTATCTGCATGGTCGCGCAAATGACGGGCCTTTTCGGCGAAGACAAAATTCAACATGATACCACTTTTCATCGGCTGGGAAAGGAAGTTTTTGGCGTTTTTCTGGAGCGACAGTCTTCAACACCACATCTCTACCTCACTGCCCATGGTGCCTATCGAGGAGACTTTCCGGCTTCACGCTGGATCTCCATCGGTTTCGGGGGAATCTGGACGGCACTCTCTGTGAGAGTGCCTGAAGATTCTTTTCGTCTGGGCCCTGGGCCTGCTAATCTAAACATTAGCGATAGATTCATAATATTTTCATATCTTTTTTTTCATATATGGTTTTTAGTAGTAGACTACATAGTAGTATAAGTATTTTTCTTCCCCGTACCCCCTTAGGAAATCAATTTCGTTAAGACAAACTTGTCTGATCGAAATCAATTAAGTACATTGATTCAGGCGGAGTGCACGTCCCGACGCGTGACGCCAGACCCGCTAAGATCTGAGCGCGATCTGATCGACTGCACAACCAACATCAGTTGCTTTTGTTTAGTTTAGAGACTTGACTCTTGCTTTCAAATTACAGGATGCCCACGATCTTCTAGACGCGATCATGGCCTCGCGTATAGTCCCCAACATCCTGGATCCGCTCAGTTCGTCCGCGCTGAACAAACTTCACGAACCGACCCCTCCACCCATAAAGAAGCGCAAAAGAGACGATCAAGAGTTAAACGATGCTGCTGGACAGCTTGCTACCTCTTCCATCGTCATAAGAGTGAGTTATGCTTATAATTAGCCCAGCATACGCTCAATCCATTGGTTGCTGTTGCTCACTCTGCGCAACTTGTATAGGCTCACTCAGCATCTTTATCTGATGAACCCTTAATCCTCGAACCAATTACCGCCCTCCCTCGCACAAGACTGCCCCTTTCATGGCTGGATGACACCCCCGCCTCCCGATCCGATGAGCAGCCAGGCGGCCTTTTCACCGCGGACATCCCCACGCTGGAAGTCGACCTGCGCGCTAAGGCGGAACCAACTGTCCTCATTGTGCGCCTGATACCCAATGGCGGGCTCTACGTTGTCGAGAGGGCGAAGAGGGGCATATACTCGCTCTCCAAGCTCGCCCGATGGGTACACGAAGGCAATCTCATCGTTGCGGCCAAGGGGTGGCATGCAACTAACGCGGCGGAAGTGGACTGCATGGCTGTCGACGAGACCGGTGCTATCCCCGGTGGGTATGACTGGTGGCAGATTGCCCAGATCGATGAGCCCCTCTCGGACGATGAGGTGAGCGAAAAGTCTACTGGGCTGGACATTGCTGTTGTCTTTGGTCCGTCTGAGTCGGAACTTGGGAATACCGAGGCATCCTTTGTGGGTGTTGTAGAGCACCGAAGTCATTCGCTTGCTCCGTCGAGGAGTTTCGATGCCGCTGAGGGGGGTTCTTTCTTGCTTCCTGAATCTCAGGGCTTGGGGGATGCCACCGCGGCTATGAATGTTGATAGTCTCGAGTCTAGTGTCGTGGATGTGCAACAATCGCCCGAGGATTTGCTAGACGGGATGAGAGATCACTATCTACAGGCTCTCTACGTTTCAAAGGTAATATATGCTCTACTTGATATTGGGGGATTGCCCGACTGACATTTTTCTAGACTTCTGTGGCGTACTTTGCGAAGGGGCCGTTGACACGCTGCCGGACTGCTTTCCAGGCTCGTGACTCGGAACAGCCTCACGGCTCGACGGAGTTGATCGAATCATATCGTGAGGCTATCCTCGCTACAAAGAAAATGGACCTCAAATACAGAGAGACATTGCCATCGATAATTCGTGATGCAGCTCTTGCGCTTTCTGATGATGCCGCGAAATCTAATAAGCGGAAGAGTAAGAAAAAGAAGATGGGCAAGAATGGTCTTTACCCAGAGGAGGAAGGATTCATCCGCAGGTGGTGGAAGGACAGAATCTTGAATGGATCTTCTGTGCAGGAATCGTCGCGTGAAGCAGAGTCCAAGAAACAGATTTCGGATCTCCGGCTGCGCGAGACACAATTGCAGATCCTGCTGCTTTTGGAGGTCATGGGGTTGGAAATGACCATTGCTTCGGCAGAGAAAAATAACACTAACAAGGAGAAAGATGTAAATGGGGAGCAAGATACGCCGAAGAAAGCCAAGCCCAAGAAGCCTACGGATTTGAACGTGCTCCTTGAACTCCATCTCGATCGGATGTGCATTTGGCACGCTGTGACAATGGAAGAAACGTCTGCCGCTGATACAGCAAAGGCTTCTTCTTTCAGTGGCAACCATCTTTCAGGCAAGAAAGTCGAGAGCGATGCGGTGCGTGACTTTTGCACGGAAGTCATCATTCCATTCTATGCTGCACGTCTCCCAGACAAATGCAAGTTGATCACTCGCAAATTCGGCGTATCTGGCGGTATTTCCCCAGCTGCTAAAAAGACACAATCTTCGAGTAAATCACACCGCGTGGAACCCGGGGCGGAAGTCAAGCGACAACAGCCTGCACCGAAACCCCGACGAACATTACAGCGAGTACTTACAGATGATAAAGCGGCATCTTCCCATGCTCGGCACCCAGGATTGACTCGATCCAGCACTGCCCCGACCCAGCATAATATGAAGCGCGATATCGAACCCTTGCTGCCCACTGTTCTCAGCGGCAGTGTCCGTGGTGGCATTCAGAAAGCAAAACGCACGGAAAATCGCGAGGTTGATCTTAACGCCGTAGCACGTCAGCATGAGACGAAATTGAGAAAGGTCCAAATGCTGGCCAACCAGAAGAAAGAATTGGATGCTGCTATTAATGCGCTCCGGAAGCCGAACAGAGAGCTCGTCTCCAAGGATCTGGCAGACGATGCGTCGAAACGTGTTACGACTGGCGGAGGCAGTTCCAGAAAGTCAAGAAACCCTGTGCGCAATCCGTTCGGCGAAGGTGTACAGGTCATGGCGACTCCTCGAGGCAATCGAAAGAAGGATGCGGCGGCCGGGCTACCCCCGCTCCCTCGTAGCCTGGTTCCATCCCGGTCATTTGCCGGTGTGGAACATTCTCCTTTCGGCGAGTCTCTTGGCGAGTCTCCCATGATGATCCCATCCTCGAGTCGGCGGGCGATCTCATTCTCTGGCGCCGACTCCGACCCTTTCACTCATGACCATCCACAAGATGGACGA